GCCACTTCTGCATAAAACTAGGTGATTGGGTCAAAACATCCCTGCTTGAAACAAAATTACAATTGGGACACATGAAACCGAGGGGATTGTGGTGGGTGAAATCACAACTGAGGTTATTAATATGTGTCCTGAGTATGCTGCCGATTTTAAACGACTGGTAAGACAACGAGTTCGGGCAGAGTTCTCGTTTCAAAAAACGGAACCTGGTGGACGTCATAACGATGACTCTTTATCAGAAAGAGTCACAAAAGTATTTCAATCGAAAAGAGCCTCAAAGTAGGGTATCTCCACAGCCTGCCGCGAAGAATGCGAGGTGTACATGGTATATGCTCAAGCTTTCTCTATGAGGGCGTTGTGGCCCTCTACCATACGAAGTAACCCAGGTAAAAAGCAAGTCCACAGATGGCAGGCACGACCGTTTACCAGACAGCTGAACCAAGTTGTCTACTCATACAGTTGAGTGGCCATGTAAGAATAAACACAGGCGTCTATGAGGGCACATAACTAAAAGGGGTGGTGGTGGTGGTACATGCAGAGAGGTTAGTGAACCAGCGGCCTCACGTGACTGACAGGCACTCCGTGAAAAGGAGGGACGTGTGTTAGAAGCCGCAACGAATGGGTTATTGGACGGGAATCAGTGCAAGCAAAATGCCTTCCTGCGGGTAAGCACGAATGAGAAACACGCTGACCAGTTCACAAATTTCGACGGCTCAGACGGTGGAGTGGTGCCAATTGAACGGATGGAATGGATCACAATGTCTCTTTAAACTTACAGCGTAGAGGCTATACAAACCATCTTCAAAAGAACCTATTGGCCTCGAGAAAGAGGAAATCAGATCACAAATATGGGCGCAGCTGGTTCAAATTACCCCCACTTTCACTTTAATACCTTCATCCGAGCTTCCGGTGGCCTTACGTGGGGGTGTTCTCTTGGGCCAAGATAGGATCAGATGTTCACTACGTTAGAGAAATTGGTTTGTACTTTAACCAATTTGGCTTGCTGGACATTCGAGTTCCATACTTCAGTAAGTCTGTGTGGCGTAACGGGACTTTTTTAGTACAAGTTTGATCCTACCTCGAGGATATAGGGTCTGGTCAACAAAAACGGCGTTTCTGGGTTCTGAGTAAACTGCAATCTTAATTCCTGGTTGGTTTCTATCAACTCTTGTTATTTAATTGATAGCCATCGATTTACACACGGCCTGGCAGTGAAGGTTATGATTTGCATAACTCGTGATATCATCAGTATATGACCAGTGCCAGGTGCAGTGTCTCGACAAGAATAGTAATGCATTAATTGAATTTACCATTACTGCACAATGATTGCAGTGCGCAACGAACGCTGCTAAGGGTAAACTGCTTAATCAGGCCGCGGCTAAGAGCGTGTCATGAAACATTCTAGGTTTCAGGGCATTACGACAGGTTAAGATGTCCTTGAACGGACCAATGAACGCTTTCATTTCGGAGGGACTGTAAACACTTAGAAAAGGACCTTGACTTCAGATAATGCAATTCGACGCAATTGTGACTCGATTTAAAAAATGCAAGTTATAGCAAATAAACCTGCTCTGCCTTGCATCTGAGAGCCATTATGATATTTATAATGACTTGTACTCCTCTGCATTGCCTTTGGAGATTGAGTAATGATTTTATAAGTGTCTCGCTGAAAGGAAAGGCGAATTTTTGGTTGTTCATGGAGTGTGAAGCCAAAAGGTTTCGAAAGCTATTGACTCTCCTCACAAATTCTGCGACGCTTGGGATTCAAAATTGAGATTAAAGCATCAATAAAACGCCGATTCAAATCCCATTTCGTCACGCTTTCCATTTTACTAGCCGCTTAGCTATTACATTTGCAAGTTGAGGAAGTTAGGGAAAATTTGAAATAATTATCTTTCTCTTTGCGAACGCAGCGGGGTCCGTTAGTGTGTAAATAAAATCCAGACTTAAAGACAGGAATTACGGTCCTTATTGTCAGTTTTTTTTATTTAAAGGCTGGAGCACCGACAGGGTTAAAGAGATTCTGGTGGCATGAGCTCAAGGATGTGGTTCAGGGAGAATGTGGTGCCGTCATGAAGGTTGAATGAGCAGCGCGGCTCTAAGGCGTGGTTAAAAACACTCTCGCTTTTGGCAACCACATCTTAGCTAGCAATAGTGACTAGTTTAAGAGCTAACGATTCATTTCGTATCCGTATTCACAGAAGTGAGGTAATGAATTCGATTGGTATCAGCCTAAAGTAATTTACTTTGCATTCTATGGTGCAAAATCAGCTAAATCAATTCGGTCTGCAAGGATGTTTTCTTTTCCGTTACTCAGACGACGGTAGTTTGGAGTTTGGGTTGATCTTATAGATCCAAACGCCATTTAATTGGCTGTTTCTTGTCATTGCACCTGCTTGCTGTGATTCAGGTCGCTGTAATCATTGGTAATCTCCCTGATGCGAAATTCAAAAGCATTAAGTGGGTTCGTCTATGATTGACGATGATTTGGTGGTAATTCAAGCAGCAAACTGCAGGTCCGAATGGCGTCCGTCCAGAATGATTCCAATGAGTGTAGAAAAAATAGTTTAGGATCTATAATGTGATCGAAGTTGTGTATTCAACTTTGAATCAATTTTTTTGCTTTGCTGTTGAACAAGTTTAAACTGTTTATAGTTGTTTTTAAAATTGCAGTCGAAATGAAATCCAGTATTTTACGTTTTTGTTTGTGCGAATCACTGGCATTGCGATGTTTTGTTAAAATTAATGTAATTTCAAAGATAATAGTTCCCTGCATTCCGGGTTATGAAATAAGCCACTCCGCTAGCTGAATTTACCCAAGGTGTTAAAGAAAACCATTTTCAAATCCACGTCAGTGTGTCACGCGGGAATCTAGTTGGTACTCCAAATCACTGTCTGTGTATAAACTATTTCATGCTTTTGGTAGTGGTAAAAAAGCAGCCGATTTTTAAATGTTTAAATGAAAATCTACTAGCTACTCACAAATTCATCATGATTTAATTTAAGTGTGTTAGTACGTCATGAGTGATATTTAAGTTATTTGGAGATTAAAAATGATCTTAGAGCAGTCAGCTTAAAAGGCTTTGGAGAAATTAATAACGCGGGGAAGTCATCGAAGCAGTTACATCAGGAAGTGGATCGTTGC